CATAAGGCCATCCTACATGCTCAACCCGTTAGCTATCTTTTTGCTCACATGCGTACTTTCAGTCGCATATGTGTGGTGAGGTACGGTTTCAGTCATTGAAGCTCACCTTTCTCACTGCAGTTCTTGAAAATTGTTGAGGGTCATAAGAGAAAAAGTGTCTACGAAGTGTATGAGAATAAAAGGAAGGCCTCAGAAGGGGCAGATATATCCCAGAATGCTTTGCATGGAGAGCTCTCTTTGAATATTTAGAAAATTCAATACTTGAGTAGATGTTTGACCGAGTAACGTTGAATTGTAGTTAAATAAGATTAGAGTATAAGTATTAATACTTTACCCAATTACTACTGTTGAGCACTTAATCCACCACTGGACATATGCAGTGGAGATTATTTTACTCCAAAGATCTGAATGGGTGTGTACACTGGAAAAAACTATCTAGAAATTAGTCAACATTTCTTAAATTAAGTGTATTTACCCTTCATTTGAGCAGGTAAATAAGAGGATTTTCCAATGGAATGAGATTTCTTTACTCTCAAAATAAGATAATTAGATAATATGCACTTTGAATAAGACAATGCAATTTTTTTCTCTTTAGTATGTAAATGATCTTATTCGGTTGGCAAAGTATCTCACTTACCTCCTCAAATTAAGACAAAATGCACTTATTTTAAGAAAAAATGACTTATCTAGATTTTGATGTATTTCCAGTGTACATGGCTGCAAAATGTATTGGAAAAAAACCAACTGTCTCATTTGGATTGAAATTTCTTTCTAAATTCAGATTTATTGTCAAATATTTCAGTAGAAAACCTTAGAAAGCGGCCAGTGAGCTTTAGAACTCGCTCCTTTGCCTTATTAAATGCAAGCTTTGAATGAACTCACCTTTAGGTCATGATGAAACTATAATAATGCAGAAAAACAGGCTTTACTAATTAGCTGGTGCAATCAGCCAGTTTTTCATAATTCTTCTCACGCACGCGTGCGTGCGCACGCGCTTCCGCTGCCATGGAAACGGAGGCCTCTGAACGTCGCTGCCATCTTTAACTGCTACTTTCTAAACTTGAGCTGGACGCTTGACTTGCTGCAGTCTGTGGTTTTTACTAACCTGCCAAAGATGTGCTACACACCGATGATGAACAGGTTGCAGGATCGGCTGGAAGGTAAATGTCACTATTTTACTATGTTAATTCAAAAAATGTTACTTGAAAAATGATTATTTTGAAGTTTTTCCATGAAGTTGGGACGGCTAGCTTAGCATCTAGCATCTTTGACATCTCAGAGATTAAATGTGTTTTTAGTCGACTGAATTTGTTAGGAATATTAACAGCCATTTAATTATTTGAAAAAAAATGTTTTTGTTTCAGAGAAAAACCTTTGTTGAATTTTATGTGAAATGTTTGAAAACTAGATTAAGCTAGGTCTGTTATTTAAAAAAAAATGCCCTGAAAATACTATGTTAGCTCTTTATGGAAATGTTGGTGAAAATACATTACATAAAGAAATTAAACAAAGAGACATTTGAAGGACATTTAACATTAGTTTAGTAAATGTGTTTTGGGACATGATGTTTTTTAAGGGGTATTATGCAATAAATTGATTTTTATGAACGGAAATGGGAGGAATGATAACAGAGATGCAATGATGTAAAACAGAAACAAAGTTTGGTTTGAGAGAATAATCTATGATGAATTTAATGTGCAAATGGATGAAAAAATGGAAAATAAATCATTTTAGGATAAAATGGATTAATTGAATATATTGGAATTTGAAAAGGAAGGCCTTTTTTAAAACATGCTGTAGTAAACATATTGGTCTCCATGGAAACCTTAGTGGAATGCATTAAGCAACTTTAGGACTTTTTCAGGTGGCAAAAGGTGATTTTGAAATCATGTTTTTAAAGGCAACTACTAAGCAACAAAGTAAAACTATTAATTTTAGTAAAACCCTAAACATTATCATTTGTTTGTTTTTAGCTTTTGTTTCCTGAAACAAAAATCAGGTCCTTTACATTTTTTGGCTTTAACATGTTTAGAAATTGACTGAATTTATAATAAGGATAAAGAAATAAAAGAAAAAATGTTTAATTAAGAGTTCAGAAAGAAGGATATGTTTATTTTACAGTGAGGAGGTACAATTAAAACATGAGTTTAGAACAATATATTATTTAAAGGTTTTCCTGCAGCCCTTGTTTGGATCTTCAGCTGAAAGTAAATCATTTAATCCCATCCGTCATCAGTAATAATAGTTTGTTCATAGAGGACTCTATCATTTTCTAAACATAGAAAATATAATATAATACATAAGGATGATTTTCTGCTTATAGTAAATTAACTTCAAAGTAGGGATGCACGATATTGGGATTTTGGCCGATATCCGATATGCCAATATTTTAAAACTCATGTAGCCGATATTGATACCGATGTTAAAGCTGGACAAAAATAAGTAGTCATTGAAAATTGCAGTTTTGTTATCCATTTCTGACACTTTGAAAAATAATATACTCAAATATATTTTCATATGCTGATATCAATTGATTTTTAAAAACGCGGTATCGATCTATTTTACTTTCAAAATCTCGTGAAATTTCATCGTTCTGTTACAAACTCTCGTGATATTTTGCAAATTCTTGTGAGATTTTGTTAGTAAAATAGATTGATACCGCGTCAATATATCAACATATAAAAATATGGCAACATTTCGTGAATTTTCGGGGGATTTCGTAGCATAACGATGACATATAGCAATATTTCATTAGTAAAAGAGATTGATATGGTGTTTTTAAATGGCAATATATCAGCATATGAAGATATTGTGATATTTTAATGTATCAATATTTTTTCCCTCGTCTTTAGAAGTTTTTAAGTCTGTAAAAAATATGTTTTTGAGGCAGAAGAAGAAGTAGTATTTTTTTTTTTCGACTTTAGAAACTCAGAAGCTGATCAAATATCGGGTTAATTATCGGTGGGGTGGCCGATGTCCGATATTCAGTTTTAAGGCCGATACAGGCCGATACCGATAGGGGGCCGATTATATCGTGCATCCCTACTTCAAAGATTTATGATTATATTATCAAGTCAGCCAATTAAACTTTTTTTCTGGTAAAGAGATATATCTAATAGTTCAAAACTATTTCAAATTTGGTAGTCTGTGTTTAATGAAAAACGTTTTTTACTGACTGTTCTTTAATCTGAACTAATCTAAATGTCTGCAGCTCCCAAAGGAGGATGTGTGCCCCCTAGTGGGAGCAAAGTTTAATAGCAGGGGACAGGGCAACACAATCATATACACACATATATACATATATATTAATATTTTTTTACTTTAACACTAACCAAACCGTTAGCATTGTTTATATGTCTTATTGATTAGATCTACTTAAACCTGAAAAACTCACACAGGCACATCAAGCAACCTAAAATAAAGCATTTCGTTTTTTTTCATTTAATTTTCCTTAATTATTGTTCCTGGTCTAATGTTTTTTTTCCCCTCACAGTTCCAAACGTCGTGCTTCCTGCTGATCCGGACCCGGAGCCCGTGTTCTGGATAGAGGATCAAGGTGATGAATATGTCACAGATCCGTTCCTCGGTTACAATGAGGAGATAGAAGTAGAAGAAATAGGGGTTGACTATAAGGAGGTAGAAGTGGAAGGAGTAGTGGTGGACGAGTGCAGGCGGAGATGTGGCCTTTTGAGGGGGAAGATGTTGATTTTGATGAAGTCAGGTCTTTTTCTGGTGAAGACGATGACCACCTTCCCCCACATCTTCGGTTCACCCAGAGGATTCCCCCCGACTTCAGACTCCCGTGGAACCGCGAAGAGCCAGAAGAGTCCCTAGAGTGCCAAGAAGACGGCGTCTCCAGGAGGAGGAGAAGAGAGGAAGACAATGAAGAGGAGCTCCCCTGGAAGAGGCTTTGTCATGACAGGGATGTTTAAGTAGAGGAATTCTGGCAGGATCTGGCAGGTCTAGGGATGCCTTAGGTAGCGTCTTGCACCGTGGCTTTTATTTCCCCCGCTGCTAGATTGAGTTTTATAGATATTAAGGAGTCTGGCAGGTCTAGGGATGCCTTAGGTAGCGTCTTGCACCGTGGCTTTTATTTACCCTGCTGCTAGATTGTGATTTAAGTTTTAGATGTTAGAAATTTCGTTTAGCACTGACATCTGAGCAGGCACTGAGGACACGACAACCATTTAAAAAAGGTGTGGAACATGAGAGCTGGCTAAGGCAGACATAATCTAGCATGCTCTACATCTTATGTCAGAGCTGGACAGTCTGCCAGCTAACAGAAGGCAACACAAACAAAGGATTGATAAAAGAACCAGATTTGAAAAGAAGAAACACAGCATGGAGGCAAATGAACAAAAAATAAAAACACCAAAAGACAAAAAATGAATCCTGGTTGAAAACAAATGAACCACAAGGAGGCAAACCAATCCAAGGAGCAGCTGGACATCACTGCTGAGGACAACGCAGGAGGTCAAAGAAAAATCTTAAAGGTCTAAAAATGGAGTTGAGGTCACCTAAAGTCTATAGGCAGAGGGCCAAGGCTGTAGTGGAGACAGATTATCTAGAGTAGGACGATGCTGCTGGGGACAAACTGGATCTAGAATGGAACAGTGGCACAGCTTGTGGTGGTCATAAGTGGAACTGGTCTTTGGGATGTTGGTGAGAAGGTAAAGAGACGATGCTTGGAGAGACAAACTGATTTCAGAGCAGTTTGAGGCAGAGGACAGGACTGATGTAGGGATTTGGGTTGTGAGAGGAGCCGACTGTTAGAAACAGCTTTCAGATGCGACTTGGTCTACTTCTAGATGTTCCTCTGGTCAGTTAGTTTTCAGGCCTACTTTGAGGGAAAAGAACCCTCTGCAGAAATATTCTTCATATGATCTAGGCCTGTTCTGACCGCAGTGGATCTCTTCTGTGTTTTTTGAATCCCATGTCGGACCGAGCCGCTACAAGCTTTGAGCCGTCAGAAGATGCTGATGAGATCTGCAGCGACCAAACCAGAGGAGGATCATCTGGGCTGCTGACTTTACAAAGAGTGAGAGCATGTTCAGTAAGGAGCAACAATAATCCATCTTTTAAATAGAAAGTTAACATTTCAGGTGGCCTCACTTAGTTTTTCATGTTAATTTCAGACTCTGTGGTCGTCCTAAAGCAGAACTCCTGTGAGGAACCGGGACATCCAGGATGGTGAGGAGCTTCCCAGTCCCCACCTGAGGACGGCACAGAGAAAGACTGGAACAGAAAACACACGGAGTAAGACTTTATTAACACCACAAACCGACAACCCAAGATTCCCAGGCCTGATTAAAAGCTAACAGTCACTGAAACACAGAAAGACCAAGATTATGATGAAAACAACATCCTGCCCAGATTTAAACTTGGTTTCCAGGAAATTCATTTGTCTTCTTTTTGCAGGGAAAGCAGGTTGAACATGGAAGCAGTTTACTATCAGCCGGATCACATTGGAACAGAGTCCATCCACACGTGTTTGGAGGTATGTTGGTTGTTATCTGACTAGAGAGGAATCACATGCAGACAGTTTCAGACTCTGAGGACGCTTTGCTTTCATTGATGAAGGAGCTGAAGAAGAGGACGGAGCACAGAGGCCGCTAAGGAGGAGAAACATGGCTCCTCTATTTCTCTCCAACATGCTGGAGTCCAGGACTGAAAAACGTTGACGACCCCGCAGCTAAACCATCAGTCTGCTCCACCCAGTAAGAGAAGATAACAAACCTTTATTGCTTCCAGATGTTCATCAGTATTGGTGGTGATATTAAAAACAGATCCAGAACAAACAGATTTAAAATATACAACCATCCCATCAAGGTGGTCTAACCTTTAATCTTTATCTTTCCCTCATTAATTGTTCACCTTCGTTTGAATCTCTGTAACCAAAATTTACCAGAACCAGAAGTTCTGACTTTTCCATTAGACCACAGATAAAGAGTTAGGAAGCAGCTTCTGATCCAATATGGGAGAATTTCCCCCTGGTTGATGTCTGAAGGGTTTTTTTTAGAACCTTTTAAAGCAGAGAAACGACCGACTGAAGACTTGCAGCATTTTCAGGCATTTTCTCCAAGCATCCATTCTCTACAGTTATCACTTCTGTTAACTTTAGCTTCTCCCTGTGTGTTTCCCTCTTCTCTTGGTCAAAGTTACACCTCTCCCAGTGTTCATGTGTTTAAATGTCACAGACTAGCGTGTTCTCTCACTAACTCCTGTTCTTCTTTTCCAGATAAGGTCATCTGCTCCTTGGACCGGCGCCTCTGTGTCTGTTGGACGTCTGCTCTCCTGTTAAAGACACGCTCGGCCGCAGGGCGCTGACATGGAGCTGCTGGAGGTTCCTTCCTGATTAAAGCTGCTTTTCATCTCTACTGTCACCACTTCACTGCTCAGGAGGAAGGACTGCTGTAAAATTAACGACTGGATGTGATTGGCTGAGCTTCCTCGGGTTGAAGACATTTCTCTAAACGCCATAATAAGCTGAATTTATTTTTACCATGTTGTAAATAGGATTGGGCTGGACTCCATGTTTGTGTTTCTAATTGATTCTGTGTTTCTGTTGTTTTCTCTTACATGTTTTTGTATTAAAGTTGTCATGTAAATTGCCTTCAGATAACATTTGCTGGGACTATTTTACAAGACTGTATTATAATAAATTCCCCTACTGGGTCTGTTTCTGTTAAAGGATGCTTCCTGTTCTGCTTCATTCTCTCTCTGTTCTCCTATTCTGCAGAATCTGTTAGTTCAATCTCTAACCTTCTGTTCTCTCTGCTTTTCCTCAGAGTAGCTTTGCCTCGTCTGTTCCTGTTTGGCTGTGACGTCATCCTGGAAAAAAACATCAGCTGTGCTGCTTCCATCAACACCCTTGTTTATAGATGTTGTAGATTGGTCTGTTTTCCAGTGTGGTCCTGTTTCTCTGACCGTGACTGAGTGGATGTGCTCTCTTCGTCCTCTGGCATGGGAGCTGGCTCGGAGCTCGTCTGCCTGGCTGCGTGTTTCCTGGACGGGGCCGCCTTTTACAGCTGCTTTTTGTATCTCTGCTTCTGTCTCCTTGAACCCCAGTCGGCCTCAGCAGATGGCTGCTCACACTGAGCCTGGTTCTGCTGGAGGTTTCTTCCTGTTAAAAGGGAGTTTTTCCTCTCCACTGTCGCTACAAGCATGCTTAGTGTGAGGGATTGTATTTGAGTCAATGAGTCGATGCAATCAACTGGTTTTCCTTAGATAGAAAACTTTGAATCAATTTGACTGGATGATCTGGTGAACTGTAAAGTTCCTTGAGATGACATGTGTTGTGAATTTGGCACTATATAAATAAACTGAATTGAAATTGAATTGTCGTTCTATCTCCGCATGTTATTTCTCACTATAATAAAGGTTTGATTGAAGTCATGTGAACAGGATCTTTTTGTCTTTATTTGTAAAGTGTCTTGAAATAAGTGGTTGTAAATTGGTTCTTTATAAATAAACAAAAGTGAAGTCAACTGGAGCAAGAGTTTAATATTACTATAGTCCAGCTCTTTGGCAGATAGGTGGTTATTATTGTTTCTCTGTTGGGGGGTCTGACCTGACAACATGTTAATAGAACAATTGTTCTTGTCACCTTGCAGGGTCGGAACTAATTAGCTCTACAAAAGGACAGTGAGACGTTCCTCCTGCAGTTCTTCTGATTTTAATGACCTTATAGACAATCTGGGAGTTAAGCAGCAAAGCAGACAGGACACATCAACACTAAGCCTTACAAAGAACAACAAACAGAAATGGGAGGATAATTAAAGATGAATGTTAAAATAAAACTAAAGGAAGATAGTAGGAACTAAATGCTTAATGAACCCAAAGGCAAACAGCTTTGCTTAATTAAAACAAAACTTTGTCCAAAGGTGATTTTTCCCTCTTTAAACTATACATACTTGGTCCCTCAGGGTTGCATAGCTCACTCCTTTTAACAGACACCATCTAGTTAATGTTTCAGACTCTATATTCTATCAGAGGAAAAGGGGGTAAAGGATTTAAATGGATTGATGATCCTACACTCACATTAAAACTGGTTTTAGAAAAGATAAAGTATGGAGTCAAATCAGTCTCAAAAAGATCTGATATGTAAGATATGTAATTGTGCATCTCAATTTACTGATGAGTATCACACAAAGCTCAAATGTGTACCTGGAAGACTGGAAATAACAATAAAATAATAATTAAACCACTAGGACTATAAAAGATGGAGAAAAGAATACTAAACACTCAAAAGAAAACATAACAGAACCAAGACTTGGACTGTAACTGGGCAAAAACCAAATAACTCAATAAAGTAGGAATTAACCCACTAAAACTAGAAAAAAAGGAGCAAAGCAAAACTGGATACTCAAAAGAAAAAAACATAACAGAAACCTGACAGTCTCTGCTTTTTGAAGATGACATGGTTCGTTGTCTTCAAAGCCAAGTGCGTAGCAGCCAGGATGAAAATGAGCTCCTGCAAGTCCGAGGCCATGGTTCTGGACAGGAAATAAGGTGGTGTGTCCCCTTCAGGTTAGAGGAGAGTTCCTGCCTCAAAGTGAGGAGTTCAAGCATCTTGGGGTTCTGTTCATGAGTGAGGGGCGAATGGAGCAGGAGACTGAAAGCTTCCATCATGAGTCTATTATAGTAGTCTATTTTGAAGATAGAGCTGAGCAAAAAGGCAAAGCTCTCGATTCTTACCCTCACCAATGTTCATAAAATGTAGGTTTTGACTGAAAGACAAATATCTATAATATAAGTGACTGCAATGAGCTTCCTTCACAGGGTGGTCAGGCATTCCCTTAGAGACAGGCTGAGGAGCTCCGCCACCAAGAAGGGACCCAGAGCAGAGCCACTTTCCTCCCAATTGAGAAGAGTCCACTGAGGTGTCTTGGACATCCACTTCCAATACTCCCTGGGAGCCTCTGGGAGCCTCCTTCAGGAGGTGCTCCAAGAACTTCCCACCAGGAGGAGGCCCAGGGACAGCCCAACTTTTTGCGCTTCCCTTAAATGAGCTGGAAAGGGTGTATAGGAGGGGGAAGTTTGAACATAAGCTCTATATCCAGCCGTTCAGCAAAGATACTGCTCCATGGCTTTACATCTTATTTTAAGATTTGACCAATTAGATGAGCCCTTGAATGATATATTACCTACTGTCAATTAAGTTGGAAAAAAAAGTTAACAAGTTAAGAAAAAAAGGTAAAAAGCTCATTGAAAAGTTAACAATTATATTTAGGTTTAACTAAAAAATGTAAGTGCCAGTATCAGCATTAATGCCTTTAAGGTTATGTTGTAGCAAATAAAATGTGTTTCTTTCACTCTCAGAGAGCGACGGCAAACCGAGCAGTGAACATGATGTCAGTGCGGCTGAGGAGAGACATGGCGAGAGAGATGAGAGCAGAGAGCAGGAGTAAAATAGGTTACTTTGCCCGTCCTTATTCTTGTCTTTTACAAAACTTTTTGAATCACCACCCACAACAGAGCACAAAAAATCCAGTTGTGCAAAAGGTATTCACCACTAAAAATGCAACCAACAGGTGGTGGCTCACATATTTTGTTTTGTATGTATTGCATTTGGAAAGACTACTGACACAAGCTCATTTATTACCGGGATGTCTGATTGGAGGCATGTGCACCAGCGCACAGAAGAGCATGAGAAGAGTAGCGTTAATTTGTGTGGTTGACTGTGATCTCTCTCTCTCTCTCTCTCTCTCTCTCTCTCTCTCTGATCTAAGAATTGTTGCTGTGCTGTGGTGGAGTTTACAGTGTTAATAAATTAAGATTTTGGAAGTATTTTAAGTGTCCACTCTCACTAATTTCCATTAACCTGGCCTCAAGGTATTGCACAGTTGGTATACACATTCAGTACACAAAAAAAAAATGTCAGTCTAGTCTGAAATGCCAGGGCCGATTTTTGTCCCAGTCCACCCCTGGATGTAAAAAGTGAATTCCTCCTCAGTGAGATCAATAAAGTCTTATCTTATCTTAAAATGGGATTGGAGAGGAGTCCAACAGGAGTTTTCTTTTTGTTTCAGATCTTATTTATCAGTTTCAAACCACTGTCCCCTCATTGTGGAGTTAGTACTGACACATTGTGTTGTGTTCCAGAATTATGGGAACTAAAATGTAAGTAAAACATCAGACACTTTATGTTAATTGATTGATTTTGGATTTATGTAAGTTGATGATTCTGATTTGACCATTGTAGCCCAATGAATATGCTTGTGCAGCGCCTTGTACTAGTTTGGTTCCTAGATAAAAATCTAAAGAGCATGGCCTGCAATCGTACTTATCCCTATTACTCATATACCCCTAAAGAAATCTCAGTGCACTCAGTCCCAGGCTTTGAACATATATCTGAATTTAATAATTTTACTTTATTGATCTCACATTGGAGAAATTTACCTCTGCATTTAACGCATCCCCTTGGGGAGCAGAGGGCTGCCTTCCTGGGGCCCCCGGGGAACAATTGGGGGTTAAGGGTCTTGCTCAGAGACCCAGAGTGGCAGTCTGTGGGAGAAGGTTTCGAACTCGCAACCTCAGGATTCCAAGCCCTATGCCCTAGTGATGTTTTAATGAGGCATCTTAAAGCCAAACTGCAATGATGCTGCGTTGATACTGCCTCACAGAATACTGACACCTGCTGGACATTTAAAGACACTACAGGCAGTTTATTTGACAGACTGAATTTATTTAATGACCTAGAGCAATAATATAATTGAAGTTATAGTAGGTTGTATTATTTCATATCTATGTTTAAATTGAAAATATCTTTGATATTTTTAGGTGCAGCAAATAAATAATGTAAAAATATAACTTGAAAATGTAGGGGGAAATGTGAACGATGATGCTTGTGGATTTTAAATCCTAATTTTAAAACAATAAGTACAGTAAAAACAGCAAATAAAGTAAGGGTCAATTTTAAATCAACTTTAATTCAGACAAGTTGAGTGATAACTGAGAGGAAAATGATGACACAACGAGAACATTAAAATAAAAACGCATCAGCTGAAATGTTCCCACACAGAGTTAAACATGTAGTGTCAAAGTAAATTGACTTTTTTAGAGTTATTCCAACAACAACTGGAGTATGATATACACTACGTAGAGTTCTAATTTAACACTAAATCAAAATGGGACCAAATGCACTCTTAAAGTGTCACTTAACACTGCAGAATTTACTGTGTATTCCTTTTAGGCTGCTCCAAAATTCTTGATAATGATCATTAAAATGATCATTTTAAAAGCTGTAGACTTTCAGGACTCAGGTTGGGTTATCTGTAGGACAGCATTCAGAGCTGGGTTGAGGTTGCAAAGAGCAGAGGGACCACCAAGGGTGAATATATAACTATCTAAAATGGATTATGAATGATCTTAAGCATTTTGAAAACATTAATTATTTTAAAAAATCCATTCAGAGGTGGAGAGCATATTTGTTTCTTTCTTTAATGGTACCTGATAAGATTTTCTAAATAAAAGCACTACTGCTCATTTAAAATAATAATGTTTACAGTTTGATGATTGGTTAGAGATAAATCAGGATTCATAGTTTTATTTCAAAAAAGTGCCTAGTGTCAAATCTAACTAATTTTTTCTGCTAGTGTAGACTTTGGCAACAACATCTAAAGCAGCGAACTCTGCTCTCCAGAGCAAGTAGATTGGTAACCCCGCCTCCTGCTCTTCTCTATCTTGTCTGCTGTCATGATTCATGCAGCTATTATTTCATCCAAATGAAAAATGGAGAACAGAGAAGCAGATCATGGCTTGTCTACAGTGAAAAGAAGGACTGGGTTATTTACTTTGGCCTTTTTGGAAACACAGGATGAGCAATCACCTAAGTGAGCTTAGTGCTTGGAAAAAATCTTTCATTCCTTTAGAGACAGCATGAAAAGTCAGCTGAGTACAAAACATAGAGAGGAAAACAAGAAGAAAAGGGACAAGAAGAGAGGGACAAAACCTAGAACAGATAATGGATGTATATATAATGGATGTAAATAATTAACATTTCTCTATCTGTATAATCAAAAACATGACTGTTAGGTTAATTGGCTTCTCTAAAGTCCCCCTAGGTGAGAGTGTGTGTGTGAATGGTTGTTTGTCTCTGTGTTGCCCTGCGATGGACTGGCGACCTGTCCAGGGTGGACCCGCCTCTCGCCCGTTGATAGCTGGAGATGACTCCAGCTCCCCTCGCGACCCCACTTGGGATATGCGTGTTTGAAAATTGATGGATGGATGGATGGGTATCTGTATAATGGGTCTGTTTTATGTGTCGTCTTCTCAATTCAGAGGGCCCCCTGCCTCTCTTTGCCTAAGGCCCCAAATTTCCTAAATCCAGTAAATGGCAGTCTGTGGGAGTGGGTTTCAAACTCACAACCTCAGGATTCCAAGCTCTATGCCCTAACCGCTAGGCCACCACTCCCAAAAATAAATAGATAAATTAAACTTTATGGATATCACAATGGAGAAATTGACTCTCTGCATCTAACCCATCCCCTTGGGGAGCAGTGTGGGATTAAGGGTCTTGCTCAGAGACCCAGAGTGGCAGTCTGTGGGAGTGGGTTTCGAACTCACAACCTCAGGATTCCAAACCTTAACCACTAGGCCGCCCCTCCCCAAATAAAAAAAAGATACATTTTTAGTTTTACATATAAAATATCAACATATTTATAGAGTTTTTGGGGAAAATATTATCAGCAGAACTTTGGGGTCTTACTGCCATCATGCGGCCGCAATCTGACCTGGAAACTTGTTGCGATTTAACCGCTGGCTGAAGCAGCTAACAGCTAGCTACATTAGGAAGCCAGGCTAATTTGCGGCTACAGCAGATAAACTCTCGTTAGGTTCAGTCTCCAATGACACCCAGCTTCCAGAAATGCTCCCGGCTACTGCCTGATATCCGGTCGCTCAGATCTCCTAAGCCTTGTCTCCAGCCCACCGGGAGCTACCCTGATCCAGAAATCGCAGTAACTTCTCGGTGAGTTGCCATGCTAGCCCCCCTCATAGAGCTTTGGCTAATTCAGCCAAATAACTTATTTACATGCGTGTTAAATAATAATATATCGGGTTTTCTTGCGTTGTACAACCCTTTATATGGCGTGCGAGTGGCGTTGAATGTTCAAAATATAAGCTTTTTGTCTTTTACTGTTTTCTTTTTTTAAATTGAAGCTAAGTAAGTGTTAGCTGGTGTTAGCATGTAGCATTAGCTGGCTAACAATCCCGTCAGGTAAACTCAGGTAGCGGTGCTTTCAGTAAAGAAACTGGTTACTTTCCGGCTTCTGTGTGTTTGTTTTCTGTCTCTCATTAGTTTTAAAATAAAATATTAGTTAATATATTATAAGTAAATGTATAAAATACCGCGTTAAATTATAAAACGTTGGTAAAATGCTGTTTTCTGTTTTGCCATTTAAATTAAAAGACATTCAACTATCTTCATAAATTAAATGTTTACAGTTCAACTTCAAAACTAAATTATTTTATTTGGCACTGTGTGAATCTGGTATTTTATATAAGTTATAGATATTAATTTGCATTATCTAAGCTTAAATACACGCTTAAAGAAAGAAATTATTTTTAATAAGCTAATATCAGGAGATATCAACTCTAACAAGGCAGTCCTGTTTATATCCACAGATAAAATGGATGCTGATCGACAGAGGCGAAGAGAAGAGATCCAGAGGGCAATGAGCTTCATCCAGTAAGAAGCAATCAAATGTTTCATCCTTAGATTAAACATCAACTGAACCAAGATCCTGATATTCTGACTTTTCCATCCACAAGGTCATCATTGCCCTTCCCTGAGCCAGAGAGCTATGAGGTACAGCTCGATGCTCTGTGCCGTCCGCCTTCACCTGACCTTGTTTTAAAATGTTATGCTATTTTTTGTTGTTGTCGTTCTGCTCTCTGTGCTTTCCTTATAGGCATTTCTGACCCAGTTGGTGTGCAACTTGCTCGACGAGGGAAATTCTTGCTTTCGAGATGGTGACTGGCGTCAGGCAGCTCAGCAGTACGGAGAGGGAGTCAGCGTCGCACGCTACGCGCAGGCCGAAGCTGTCATCATCCCGCATGAGCTGCTGGAGAGCCTCTATGTTAACAGGGCTGCTGCCTTTTACAAGATGGTGAGGGCTATGTAAACCGATGGATGGATTGCCTCAAGAGACAGAGATGCTTAGGATGCTGTCACACCCTGCCGATTTATCCAGCGTCTCAGAATCTTCTAAAACTTTCTATGAATTTTTTCAATTTTGGGCGTATACAGAGAGTATTCATAACGAGTCCAGGACTTAGGTCCATCCACAGCCTAACTTATGCGTCATGCACGGCAGCCTGCATAAAAAGATGTCTTTGATCACGGCATTAACCTAGCTGCCCTTTACCGCCCACCCCAAAAAAAGGGTAAAAAAAAAAAAAAAAATTATATTTTGAGCATGCTCAAAGTTTCCCAACGTATCTGCCGTAGGTCAACGTGTACCAGCGTGTTTCAACGTGCTCATAACTTATACAAAACATACCCATAACTTATCCAACGCATGCCAGTTTTCGCCAGAGTTTTCGTACGTCAGGCATACGCTGGTCTAAATCGTCAAGGTGTGACAGGTGGATTTAACTGCACATTTTTATCTGATTTTTTTTTCTTCTTATTTTAAATCAAAAACATAACGGTTGATGTGCTTTTTTTTTTCTTCTCAGAGGGAGTATGAACGTGGCATTCAGGACTGTGAGAGCGCACTGTGTGTGTCGGAGGGCAGCCGCAGGGCTCTGTACCGAAAGGCCCTCTGCCTGAGGGAGCTGGGAAGACTCAGGGAGGCTTATGAGAGTGGAACCAAATGTCTCCTAACAGCGCCACACGTATGTCTCTGTAACTTATTCACATTTTGTCAGGCAGTGACCCAAAATATAACTTTTATAACATTTTATTGATTTCATCTCAGTGTAACACGTCGCCTCCATTGGTTTTTTTTTCCTATTCAAATAGAATTCAAGAGCTGCAGTTGATACTGAAATCTTAAATGTATTTTGGTGCCTGTTGAAAGCAGTGACATGGATTTTAAACGGTCTCTTTATTTCTGCTTTCACAGGATGTTCTGGTCATCGACCTGGCCCAGGATCTGGCCAACAAGCTGGGATTGAAGGGCCGTAAAGCCTACGTCAGCCCGCAGACCGAGTCCACATCTACCGAGGGCGAGAGTCACGGGGAAACGTCGCCGCCCACTGGAGAAGTAGGTGCAGCTTGGTTTAAAAGAAGTTCCCCCTGAAGGGACTGAAAGCTGATCATTTCCCCCTCTCCTCAGATGTCCTCCAATGGGCTGGAGTCCCTGGGTGACATTGGAGCAGGTATGACAAACTCACCTTTTCTATGGCTAAATTTGAATGCATGGGCTGCGTCTTCCAAGGACGCTGTCTATCTGGACTGGATCCTTAGAAGTCCGTGAAAATAAGGAGAGCGGAAGAGTTTTGGCTGTGAGTTCAAACAGGTTCAAGCCGTCTCCAGCTTTTACCGCCGTGCGCTGTGTGGCTTAGCAACTATGACAGATTACACACAAAGCAGGAAAAGAATGAATACCGAAATTTTCACGTTTTCTTTTACATTTTTTTTCATTTTATTTATGTAAAGTGAACAAAACTACACTTATGAGAATACAGAGTGGAATAAAGATGGAAACCATCGGGAGCATGAAAAAATAAAAGCAAAGGGGTATAAAGATATAACTAAATCTAAACAATTCATGTATAAAAAATATATCTGCAAAATCTCTTATATTCAGCAACAAAAAATACCTCACACAACGAGGAATCTTGGAATCTGACCAGACCTCGGCGCCGTGCTATGACGTAATCGTCCTACGAATCTGGCCTTCGGACGACGCAGCTCATGAATTTCAATTCAGTTTTTCCTGCTCCTGACGTTCTCCTCACCTTCTGCTCTCTTCACCAAACTCAGCGGACCTGACGGACGCACAGTGCATCCCCGCCCCCTTGGCCACGCCCATCCCAGTCAGCGATGACCCAGCCATCACGGTGGTGACCTCGTGCACCGAGCTCTCGGAGAGCCCCAGCAGCCAGACCCTGCCTCCCATGCCGTACTCCGTCCCGGTGTCGGAGCACATGGACGAATGCAGCACCAGCGTCATTAAGGACGGCTTGGAGAACATTTTGGACTGTATGCCCAAGAAAGTTAGTGAGGTAAGGAAACTCAAAGAAAGATCATTTTCTAGCCCAGATATAAGTATGAAAACAGAAGAATCTTAGAGATCCCTCATGGCTGTTTGCTGAGCGATGACATCATCAGTGGTTGTATTCATCTCTGTTTGCTAGAGCCCGGTTCAAGGTGCCATCCCCACCAACCTCCCCAACACAGCTGTCGGCCTTCGGCCTCCTTACTCGCCGGGCCTTCCAGCGCCGTCGCCCCAGCTTCCCCCAGCCTTCTTCAGCTCCTCCATCAGCGACATGCCCCCCCTGGAGAATTACACGTCGCTGCGGGACCAGGCCTCCACCCAAGCGCAGGACGCACTAGGAAGCTTTTCTGCAGGGGCCTCAGACGGAGAAGGAAAGGGAGTCACTGCTGGTGGGCTCGACTCGTTGTCTGAATACACTCTTCCTGGTGAGCCATGTGTCTCAGTTTCATTCTAAGTAGATTTCATCTTTGATTTGGACTTTTTTCTTCCATTAGATCGCACTAAACTTTGAAATAATCATCACTGCTGCCAATAATGGTCTTTTTTATGGTTTTGTGCTGCTAATTAGCTTGTAGAGCTACTGGTCCTTTTAGCTCTATGGCTAACAGCTGTGTGAAATATCTCAAGCTCATCTAGATTGGATGAGTTTTCAAGTCTCGTCTTTTAGGTCAGGACTTGGACTAGGCCATTCTGACAAGCTGGTTTGCCTTCAATGAGACTTATAATTAGAGATGGTCAAAAACAGGGTTTTAGGGGCTGATACTGATGTGCTATGTGCTGCCGATTATTTAGGCCAACATTGCTTTTTCTTCTACTGTTTACACAGTAAAAAAAAAACAGAATAATGATAAATGGTACTCAACTCTCAATCTAAACAAAAGAGAAATATTTTTAATAAATCAAACAAAAATATTAATAGTGGATACAGACAGAGCAATGCCTGTGCTTCATGTTATGACAAGGCATAGCTGCTGAACAAACTAAAGAATCCGTGAATAAGAGGCTTAAAGAAGTAAAAACCCACTAATATCAGCGGGCCGCTGTATCTCTAGCTCTGATCTAAACCGCAGTGGTTGTGTGGTTGCAAGATGAGCCTCGGTCCCGGTCTCAGGCCCTTTCTACGGTTCAGCAGGGTTTACTTCTACCCTCACATATAATATGGTGATGAGAAACTCAGATTATTTCATTCTAAATCAGATTAATACTTTTTTATTTTCTTCCTTTAGTTTTACAAAAACCAAACAAAAAAACAATAGAGGAGAAAAATATACTTTTCTAACAATCATCTCTTTATGTAGTTGGTCTGAATTCAGAGATCAGCTAAATACAGGCTGTCTAGCATAACTCTAAAAATAGTTTGCAGTTCCTCCAACTGTAAATAACAAAAATATAGCTTAGAACATGTATATGGCTAATGGTGTTATAGACTACATCAAATATAAGTTTACATCAAAGGACAAAAAGAGCTGAAGAGCCACTCTGGTTGTAGAAACACATGGACTTGTGGGGAAAAGTCTAGATTTACGAATAATTAACCAATAATTTACATTCCATTGTTTATCAAATTTGATCATTAAATGTTTCTTCCACATTTCTGTTTTTTTAGAGTTGTTTTTTTATTTATTTTTTTATTTAGCATCTTACAGATCACCTTCTCTTTACTTCAAGCTTCAGGTTGACGCTAACTTCTGAGCAGACCAATAGAAATGCGTCTTTGCTCCTCACACCAGAGGAAAGCCCGCCCCCAGAAGTGAAGAGGATGTGATCTGGCAAACGAATTTAAGAAAAATTTAATATTAAAAAGAAATGTGAGAAAACAGTAGAATTACTATTAAAGCTTTTCTTCTTATTAAAATATTTTTCTGTTTCATTTCTGGATTTAAACTTTTTTTTTTTCTTCAAATTATGATTGCAACAATAGTGGAACAAAACTCACTACACAGTTTGAGTGCTAAAATTGAGTTGTTCCAGCATGATGCTGCCATCACCTTGTTTTTGCAGTAATAGCCTTTCTCCATCTGCAGCGTTTTGCTTATTGGCTGATCAGTCTGAGAATGACCTCATCTGACCAGATCGTTTCCTTTCCTCGTTCCACACAAAAAATTTGTTTAGGGATGCATCAAAAATTCAGCCACTGGGAAATTTCAGCTGCAAATGACTATAATTTTCCCAAAAAGTTAAAAGAAAACAATCCACTGGACTTTGTTTCAAGACGTTTCTCTTCCCATCCAGGAAGCTTTCTCAATTCAAAATGTCATAAATAGCGTTAAATTTGAGGCTTTATAAAGCCTCGAGGGAAGCGAAACGTCTTCAAACTTGTAAACGTTGCCCGTTAATCTCACTGCTCACTCAGGTCAAGGGCACAAAATGGCAGAGAAATCCAAACGTCCGCATCACCATTCAGAATATGAGAAGAATCCGACACTGAAAAGGAAACTGACCGCACACATCAAATGTCGCTTGGGTCTGGTCACAAACCAGTTTTGCTGGTATTCTTCTGCACCATCGTTCTGGTATTTCTAGGGACGCGCAGCAGTTTCCTGCCAAAACGCAAGGGGAGGCCTATTTGAGAACTCGCAAGAACTTTGCAGATTGTACTTACGAACCTCCTCTATTAACATTTCGTCGTAGTTGTCCATTGTTGTTGTTCCTTGGTTTTTGACAAGAACACAGAGACAGATTCGACGGTTGCAGAGGCTATGCATCAGAAGTATAAATTTGGCCTTAACGTCATTTTTGGTGCATCCCAAATTTTATTTTAACATTATGGCTGTATTGTGTAAAAGTTTAAGTGATAATTCACAGGACTGCAGAGGCTTTGGCTTGTTTCCAGCGGTGTAATGTTTTTTCGGAACAGTATATAATATCAGCTGGAGATCAGAGGCGAGTCGGCATTAGTGCAACTTAGTGTCTGACGTCAGTGTCCTCATTTCTGTGCCTTCAGGGGGGCGAGTGTGTCACAGTTTCATCCCTGGAATGCGCAACCACAGTGCTGGGCACACGGTGAGTAAAAACATTTTATTTCATAACATCTTGATTTATTTATGGCGTAAATGTGAAAAAAAGTTTGTAACTTGTTAAAGTACTTCCATCCTGTCCGATTTGTCAACAAGTTTAAATACAGTTGGCAGTTTTTTAGCTTCTCCATTATTTTATTTCAGTATAGATAAATTTAACCATGTATGGATTCTGGAAATCAAGGTTATTTGAACATAACAATATTGATGTTTTATATTTATTTTGGTTCTCAGGAGGAATCGGTGTACATAGAATGCTGTCATATTGTTTTAAATAATAAACATCTAATTAGACCAGCAAAAGTCTGTGGCTTTACAAGTTACTCCATTTTTTGGAGAGATGTTTGCAAAAATAGATTTTCAAGAAATTTTAACTTAGAAAATAAACCAAAGCATCAGCTTGTCCATATTTTTTGGCCACAAATTTGTTTTTTTTAATTCTTTAGTTTGCCAATCAGTACCATCATAACTCATCAGTACATTTAGCAGCAACGCCTTAAGATTACTTACATTTTATTTTAAATTTTTTCATAATTTCTCTTTTTGGTTGGCAACGCTTTTTTTACTGTACATCAATAACTATGTAATAACATGGTATTCACATAGCAAGTCACGCTATATTACTTGCTAACAAGAAAAACTATTTAATTTCCCCAAGATTAATTAATCAATTAATCTCAGGTAAGCATTACATTTGTATGTGAATATGAAACAATGGAGACTTTTGGTGGGTTACCACATAACATTTTCTATTATTGGCCACCACCTTCCAACGGCTTACAAAGTAAATTTTAACTTGTGATCACGCAAATAAAGCATTATGGAACTAAACAAATAAATAAGAGTTTAAAGGTATAGTGGTGGATTTTCATGAATTTTTGAAAAGATAGCCCTCTCCACTTTAAAATAAAATGCACATGCACAACCCTGTACCCGCTACCGAGAGGAAACGCCTATTAAAGGCATTTGAAAGCATGTATGATCCCATTTCTCCTTGTACACGTACTGTTTAAAGGTACACTATGCAACCGGTGTTGATTTTCCAGCGAGGCTCCCCCCAGAGGGCGAAAGTAAAAGTGCACTGTCGTAAATATGCACAGCTGTTCTCCTGCTTTCTCCGTCAAGCCAGGCGCGGTTGTTTTGAGCTTAGCAGACAGGCGAATGCAACGAATGACTAATGCTGCGTTCACACTGGACGCAGCTGGCGCGACAGAAGCAGCGAGTTTACATGCAAAGTCAATGGTTGACGCGCGTCAAGGCGCAGCAAAAGGTCCCGCAGCGCGTTTTGAGCAGCAGGCGCAGCGCGTCTGAGCAGCTGAAGCAGCGCGTCGGGTGCGTTTAAGCATCTGACGCGCTGCAAACACGCTGCTGCTCGAGATGGAAAATTTTAATTTTTGCTGCTCGACGCGCTGCGTCAACCAATCAGAGAAGCTGATCTGGGAGCTGGCAGGGAGACAGACACAGCGCTGATGATCAGAGGCTATGATCACTCCTCTTAAACAGTTTATTAACGCCTAAATTAACTTAAAATGCAGAAATCTGCTGGCAGAATATGTTGGCTTTTATTATCCTGCTGCCTGCAGTTTGGATTATTTAGATGAAAAACACCCTCCAGCTGCCGCGGTGAACCGCGAGGAGGCGACCCGGCCAGAGGCTGCTGATGAAGGGATTCCTACTGTCGGCGCACCGCTGGTATGTGGGGGTCTGAGCGGCTCCGACAGAAAAAATATTGGAAGGCAGGATGATAATCTGAATGAACTGACTGCACTGATTACGTTTTCAGGTGTATTTTCTCAGTTAAAAACATATTAAAACTACTTTATTCCCACTGATCACAGCAAATATAGCTGCAAGGCAGAGAAAGGATAGTGAAGCTCCGCCCAACGCGCGTCAGACACACTTTTGCACCGCGCAGCCAGAGCAGCAAAGCTGCTTCAGCCGCGCGTCAGAACTACCGTATTTTCACGACCATAAGGCGCACCGTACTAAAAGGCGCAGTCTCAGTTATGTGTCCCATTTCTGTATTTAACACACACATAAGGCGCACCGGACTATAGGGCGCATTTTTTATATACAGGTACATGTCCTCTACTACCTTTAAATAGCTCTACTGCGTATTTTAAAAATACAGCGGGCCCAAAACTGAGTATGACTGTGCTTTATTCATGTATTTATTACAAAGTATTAATCAAACCTGCGAGCTGGCCGTGAGACAGACACATCGCAGATGACACAGCACTGTGATCGCTCCTAAATTAACTTAAACTCCTGAAACCTGCCGACGGAATATGTTCGCTTTTATTGCCGGTATCCTGGTGCCTGCAGTTTAAATTATTTAGATGAAAAACACCTGCCAGCCACCGTTGTGAACCCGGAGGCTGCCCAGCCTAGAGGCTGCTGTTGAAGGGATTTCTGCTGTCGGTGCACCGCTGGTATGTGGGGGTCTGAGCTCCTCCGACAGAAATAGATAATCTGGATGAACTGACTGCAATTAAGTTTTCAGGTGGCCTTTCTCACTTAAAAACATATTAAAACTACTTTATTCCCACTGATCACAGCAAATATAGCTGCAAGATTTAGATTATTTAGATGAAAAAACACCTGCCAGCCGCCGCGGTGAAGAGGAGGAGACCCGGCCCGGAGGCTGCTGTTGAATTAAGTTTTCAGGTAGAAAAATAGAGCGGGAGCAAAACTGAGTATGATTGTGCTTTATTCATGTATTTATTACAAAGTATTAATCAAACCCATCAAAGTCGTCATCCTCTGTTTCTGAATTAAACAGCTGCGCTAAATCAGACATGCCAGTTTCCCCGTCTTCGCTGTCAGTCACTTTCCGTGCAGCGCGGCTCCTCAGAAATAATGCCGGCTTTTGCGAAAGCTTGAACAACAGAGCCAGCAGACACTTTAGTCCAAGCATCTACAATCCATCCGCAAACGGTGGCGTAACTTGCCCGGCGCTGCCTTCCACTTATCCTGAAACTGTGGTCTCCGTCTGTCATCCATCGCTCCCACGCCGCTCGCAGCCTTACTTTGAACGGCCGCTTCACACCGATGTCGAGCGGTTGAAGTTCCTTTGTCAGACCTCCCGGGATAACGGCGAGCACAGCGTTCATTTGATTCACCTTTTTTTCACATTGGCTGTGAGATGGGCACGCAGCGATGGTGATGCCTGGAAAAAAGCACCTGGTCTCCTCACATACACCTGCTTTTCATCATCTTCTCATCCATCCAGCCCGTTTCATTTGCGTTAATATCATATGTCATCAGAGCGCTGTGTCTGTCTCGCTGTCAGCTCCCAGATCAGCTTCTCTGATTGGTTGATGCGGCGCGTCCAGCAGCAAAACTTCAATTTTTCCATCTCGAGCAGCAGCAGCACGTTGGCGGTGCGTCAGATGCTTAAACGCTCCCGACGCACTGCGCCTGCTGCTCAAAACGCGCTGCGGGACCTTTTGCTGCACCTATACGCGCGTCAACCATTGACTTTGCATGTAAACTCGCTGCTTCTGCTGCGCCTGCTGGGTCCGGTTCACACCGATGTCGAGCGGTTGAACAGCGAGCACAGCGTTAATTTGTTTCCCCATGTTTTTCACATCAGCTGTGAGATGGGCACGCATGGAGTTACATATTAACAGCGATGGTGATGAGTGGAAAAAAAAACACCTGGTCTCCTTACATTCAGCCACTCTTTCATCATCTCCTCAATGAGGTGGTCTCAAAAGTCGCAGTTACAACACACATAAGGCGCACCGCACCATAGGGCGCACTGCACATTTTGAGGGAAAAAAAAGACGTTTAAGTGCGCCTTATAGTCGTGAAAATACGGTAACTGGTACAAGCACCAAAAATGAAGCAGCAGACGCGATTTTGCTGCTTTTGCTGCGTCCGGTCTGAACGTAGCATAACTGCACAAAGATCGCCACTGTGCTAGCAACGAGCATGCTTTTAACTGGGCGGTGTAGCAGTTCTCGCCGTAAAGCAAGACCGACTCTCGCGAGACTTCTGAGGCTGTGGGTGGGGGCCGAGGGCTCATGCAATTGCAAGTGTGGCATTTCCCCCACAGACCACCAGGCCGGCCGAGAATACCTTTGTTCAACCTGAAATGACTCATTTAATCATCCAAAACGATATGGAACACATTAATTAACTGAAAAATGTTGCATAGTGTGCCTTTAAAAGTTGCTGTCCACATCGCTCATATACGCTTACTCTACAAGAGAAGATTTGCAAATTTTTCACTGGTAAATAAATTGTGGACGAGCTTATTGGACGGCCTTACGTAAACATATCACCACAATGATTGAAAATTAAGGGGACCATTTATGTTGATGAATGATCCACCCAGAAAAACAACATTGTCCACTATACTTTTAAGGAGATTGGGCGTGCAGGTGGCGCAGTGGTTAGCTTGCACGACCCACGTACGGAGGCCTTAGTCCTCGACGCTGGCGACCCGGGTTCGAATCTGGCCTGTGGTCCTTTGCCGTATGTCTCTTCCCTCTCTCTCATAACTCCTTTCCTGTCAGCATACTGTCAAAAGAACAAGCCACTAGCGCAGTGAAACCTCAAAAAAAAAAAAAAAAAAAAAGATTTTTATTTTATATGCCAAGTAAAAAACAGCATTTTACTAGATAATTACACATTAATTTATTGCTGTCAGTGAAAAGACAGCATGAAGCGGTTATTTCCTTATCACATGATTATTGATGTATTGTTAAAAAATAAACACTACCATTTGGTTTGTAGTTGTGATTATTTTTTTCTTACTATCCTTCACTCTTCTTCGGTCCCTTTCTCCTTCAGAACGGACCAGGAGGAACCAACCTCTCTCTGCTCTCCAGGAATCCTCTGGCAGCCACTCACGAGTTTCGCCAGGCTTGTCACGCCTGCTACAGCCGAATAGGTACGATACGTGGATATTCACTTTATTAATCCCCGAAGGGAAATTCAGTAATATCAGTCGCCTTTCCGTTTTTTTTTTTTTTTTTTCTAAGTTCAAATTTTAATATTCTTAGTTGTATGAGAATTGTCGAACGGCGAAAGGTTTTTAATTTATTATATTAAAGGGGAACGCCGTTTTTTTTTACACTGGCCCCTTGATTTTACGTTATTACATCATGTTCTACTCACCCATATTAGTTTTGTGTCATTTGGAGCCGTTCTGAAGATATTCTGTTAGGTTATATCCAGGTAACGTCTTCCTATGGGCAACGAGTTGAAGGCACAAACTAAACTGTTCATAATTTATTCTTTATGGTACGCCAGCATTCAGAACATGTAGGCCAATCACTGTCAGCCAGACATCCGCGGTTATATTTTTTATATAATTCTGTTTTAAAAACAAAGCGGCGCGTGTATGACGTATATAAACCGGCATTCCCCTTTAAACAGATGCTTAAAAAACAAACTCATATTTATTATTAGCTCAGATAGAATCAGATGAAGGTTGTCTTAGGTGGATTTCTTTATCTAAAACTCTCCACAGGTCCTCGAGTGATGGACTACAAGTACCAGCCAGAGGCAGCTCACCGCTGCAAGAGAGACGTGCTGTTATGTCGTCTCAAAAATACAGATGATCCCACCTGGAAGAGGATTCGCCCCAGGCCCGCGCGGAATAACTTCCTGGGAGCCTTTGTGCTTTGTAAAGGTATCTAAAATGTGTTTGAGGCTGGAAAGCTCAATGGTAGAGAACGACTGGAATCCAGATTTGAACCTTCTCTGGGTCCCACAGAGGTGCAGGAGCGCCAGGAGTGCCAGTACGGGGAGAACTGTACGTTCGCCTACTGCCAGGAGGAGATCGACGTGTGGACGCAGGAGAGGAAGGGGGCGCTGAGCCGAGAGCTTCTGTTCGACCCACTGGGCAGCACCGAGCGGCGGGCGCTCAGTGTCACCAGGCTGCTGCAGCTCCACATGGGCATGTTCATGTTCCTCTGTGAGGTGAGGCTCAGCATGGCGCTTTTCTCTCCTCTTTTCAGACTGTCCTTTTTAAACCGTCAGTCTCTCCTTTTTTTCGTGCAGGAATGTTTCGACAGTAAGCCTCGGATCATCAGCAAACGCAGCAAGGAGAATCTAGCAGTCTGCTCAAACCTCACAGCACGGCACCCATTCGATGATAACAAGTGAGACAAATTCTGTATCGGTCCTCAGGGCCTTCTGGAAGCTTCTACTAATGAAAATTAGCTGTGGATCTTCATGGTCTGATGGCTTGGCTCTGAATGTCACCTCCAGGTGCCTGGTCCATGTGGTGCGCTCGGCCAACGTGCGATACAGCAAGGTACGGCCCCTGCACCCCCTCTGCCAGTTCGACATCTGTCGGCATGAGGTTCGCTACGGCTGCCAGCGGGAGGACAGCTGCTCCTTTGCTCACTCTGTGATCGAGCTCAAATGCTGGGTTCTGCAGCAGGACACTGGTATGTTGAACCGCAGCTCATCTTTCCTGGGAACTCCGTATTCACGTTGGGAATAAAACTGTTGCACAGAATAACATCTGTTTAAATGAAAAATGGTGAAGTTTGGACATTTTTTTATAGATGTGGCTTAACTTAGAAGAAATTATGGAAAGATATTTGTACTTATATTCGTTTATATAACTTATATTCTTACATATAAAGTGTCCTTTTTTCCCTTTTTTCCCCCTATGTATTCTTTCAGGAATCACCCATGAAGAAATGGTCCAGGAGTCCAAGAGACACTGGCAAAGGCTGGAGCAGAACTCTCAAAAACAACACAAGGTACAGCTGGTGGTCTGAAAAAGAGAGAGGATGAAATCATTTTTAGGGCAAAAAGAATTCATCTGAATAACAAATTATCGAAATAGTTAAGTCACTATGTTTTTTATTTTTTAAAAATTGAATAATTAAATGTATACCACCTCTAAAACCGACCATTTGCTGCATGAAAAACCCATTCAGACCGGAAATAAAGCCCAAAGGTATGGAAGTAAATCTGTGTCGCTGGGATTTGAATTAAAAATGCCACTGAAATTTAAATGTTGTATGTTTGCACTTACTGTTTCAGTGTTAAAATATATCCAGAACACATTTTTGACCTAAAAAAAAATTCATTGTCATTATTTCTACACAGTTGAACTTTCATTTGTTATTTTCTCTTCAAGCTAAAAATTCACATTACTATTTCAAAGTGATAAGATTTTCAATACTTATTTTTCAGTTTAATTTTTGAGTGTTAAAAAAATCTGCATATAAAAAAATTCAACCTTTCAAAATTCAAACTCAATATTTTCGGCCTCCTGAGATTCAACTGGCTCTATTTCACTGTCTTAAATTCAGTGTCTAAATTCAGTGTAAAAAGGGAAGGGGTTACTTCAGGTCACAGACATTAGCAATGGATTGTGGCGTCCAACACCCAGCCAATCCCGTTACGTTTTCTTGTGGCGCTCATACGGAAGGAAAACCAGCATCACAGAGCCGGTAAAGCAAGCTAACGCTACGTGAGTTTATTTCTTTCATTTTTCTGTAGTTAAATTAACGTTAGCTTGCTTTACCGGCTCCATGGTGCTGGTTTTAGTAATGTGAATTTTTAGCTTGAAGAGAAAATAACAAATGAAATTTCAGCTGTGTAGAAATAATGACAATTAATTGTTCTTTAGGTCAAAAATGTGTTCTGAATATATTTTAACACTGAAACAGTAAGTACAAACATACAACATTTAAATTTCAGTGGCATTTTTAATTCAAATCCCAGCGACACAGATTTACTTCCATACAGAGGTCTAAAGGATAAAATAAGATGGAAAAAAATGAATTGCTTTTTCCTCATATACAACAGTTTTTGTTTAGTTTGTTTGTTTGGTTTAAGTTAAGTCAAATTGTTTTATTAGGCATCTGTTGTTCAGATAGATTATCAAAATAATCCTCAATTACAGCCTTAAGTTTTTTCCCCAGGTCTAAATAAGTGGGGGAAAAAACAGATATGGCTTCTTCTTAAGTTTGGTTAAAAATAAACAAGCCTTTTAATGCTGCATACATCAGTTTCCCAACCTTTTTTTTTTTTTGACTTGTGTTCCCCCATGGGCAGTCAAAATTACTGATGATTGTTCAAAGGTGGAACGTACAATAACTGACATAAAGACTATTTAACTTAATCTTTCAATTTGAACATTTAATTTTTAAAATGTTATGCTTTCCATCTCAAATAATAATAATAAAAAAAAACAACATAAGCATGTTGCCTAGAAGTTAGTAATCGAAATAAATACAAAATAAAATCATATTATAAACCTGTATTAGTAATACTGAAGCTCCTATCAGTAATTTCCTTATGATCACATTTAAACTGGATTAATTGGGGAAAAAATGATAGCCAGACTGACTTAATTAGTTTTATTTTGTTTTCATTGAGTCACAGCAGAAGGTGAACTCGCAACATATCAGAAAAATGTACTTTTTGGTTGATAAAAGCTTGTTTAATTTTTCAGTTTAGTCCTCAGAAAGCAAAACAGATCCCAGCCCTATTTTATTTTACTACCTAAGAAATAAAATATTTTCATTTACCCTTTGCAATGCACTCGTGGACCACTAGGGGTACACGTACCTCAAGTTGGGAAACACTGCCATTTACGACAATGTTGAAACATCAAGTTAAGTTGAAAAAATAGTGTAACTTGAAACCACTAGGGGTGCTAGCCTTGTACAACCCCTGGCAAAAATGATGGAATCACCGGCCCTGGCAGATGTAGAAAAAAAGCCGATCACAGACATGAGATGTGCTGGTGAAGATTCTCAGTCATCCAGGTCATAGTCATTCCAAAAAAGTTGAAAAACAATCTACTGGACTTTTTTTTTCCAAGTTTGAAGACGATTCGCTTTCCATCCAGGAAGCTTTTTCAATTCAAAATGTCAGCTGACACAAAAATAAAGTCATTCCTAATGGCAACTGCCTGGTTTTAAGACACACTAAAAGAAATCTAGAAAAACTATGTGGTAGTCAGTAATGGTTACTTTTTTAGACCAAGCAAAGGTAAAACAATATGGAATCAATAAATTCTGAGGGGAAAAAAATGGAATCATGAAAAACCTAAGAATACTGAAACACTTAGACCTCGACTTTATTGGAACTAGCAGATAATAAAACCCGATGAGTGTTTAAGCAGTTAATGGTTTACATTTTCAGCTCTAATCTCAGGAATGTTCTAGATTATGGAATGAAAAAGAAGCCTAGAAAAGCTGGAAGTTTTTGAAATGAAATGAAAATGACTAGAAATCTAACCTGTCTCTTTCAGCCCATCCACATCCCCCATCAGAGCAACAGCATGCCGGCGGGGGGGATGGGGGTCCTTGGTGGTGGAGAAGGAGTGGGAGCGGGAGGAGTGGGTCCATTAGGGGGTGTTGGTGTGGGGGGGCTGGTCGGAGGGCCAGGAAGGGGGCGCCCCCTCAACCTAAAGATGAAGTTTGTCTGTGGTCAGTGCTGGCGGGAAGGACAGGTCAACGAGCCCGATAAGAACCTCAAGTACTGCACCGCCAAAGCTCGGCACAGGTACGGCTGCTCTCACGCCATCCAACCGCTTCTAACCGGTCTTTCTGTTCAAGCTAAAAGCGCTTCCACATTATTGACCTTGAAATGTCTTTGTCCTTCTGCAGCTGGACGAAGGAACGCAGAGTCCTCCTGGTGAAATCATTTGAGAAGAAGAAGTGGGTGGTTGTCCGACCTCTGCCCTTTTCACGCTCCTACCCACAGCAATACGACGTGAGTTCATTTTCGGAGCTGTGTGCGTCTGTGCTGTTCTTTGATTCAGTTTACAAGGGCTGTGGTTTCGTTATATATGTAATATTTATTAATAATAAATTATGAACATTTGAGAAAAAATAAGAATTTTTGAATCTACATCTGCTCAAAAATAAAATTAAGGGGTAATTTTTTAGTGAAACCACTAGTCTTATTTTAGTAGAAATAGGTTCTATACGTTAGCCTAAATCTAAAACATGCAGAAGAACTTTTTCCTTGGCCTAGAAACACAGTTTTAGATAAAAATAATAATAATAATAAAAATGCAATCCTGAAATTAATCCTTGTAAAAGTTTTCTCTGATTCTGTTGTATAAGTTATTGATTTTTTTTTGCAATCATTTAAGTTATTTATTTTTGATCATTTTAGTTATTTTTTTTTAGTATTCAGTTTTTTTAGATATTTTTTGAAAACAATTTTTTTTGAGTTTTACAAAATGTATTCTTATCAAATTGAGTTTTATGAATCACTGGAGGAACGATGATGAATTTCTATTGATCTTCACTGACGTTGGCAACAAAATTATTCAATCGTTGTTATCTGTGAAATCATCACTTTAGGTTAGCGTTGATGATGTCATCAGTGTGACAGAAATCAGGAAAGTAAACAATGGAGAGCAACATGTAAAGGAAGCCAGGGCGTAATCAGTGAGCTTTAATGTTTCTCTCCATTATCTGTCCGAATCTGCTCCGTGTTTCTTGAACATAAACAGAGGTGTTTTGGCTTGTTAAATCGGAAGCGACTGGCGTGCGGTGTTAAAGTCCATACGTTGCGTTCAATGGTCTCACGTAATTTAGCGGGTCAACCCAGCTCTGGTGTTCCCCCAGCATGCCCATCAGAGCTGAGGTGTGATTTTAACGCGGGTCGCGTAGCGCACGCCAGTGAGCTGTTCCCACTGCTGCTAAAAGCCCATTGTTCCCAGGTTTAAACAGGTTTTTCAGCCAGTGGGAAAGAGGTATTTCCTTACAATGATAATGAAACAGATTTCACTCCTAATGGTCCTTTTTTATAGCCTGACGTAGTCCTACTCAATTCTAGTCAGAATATGAGTCTGATACTGCTCCATAGAGCTGTGATTATGGGGCGTGTTTCGAACGAACCAGGAAAAAAAATGCCTCTGCACTCAATTGGATAGACCTACAACCAATAAGAGCAACGGAGTGCATGACGTATGTTAAGCGATGCATAGTTGTCAACAAAAATCAAAGCATGCAGTTGCACGCCTATAATAAGAAGATGAGCCTTGATCGCGTTTCTCTGTTCCTCTTTAAAATTAATTTGCTGTCGATATCTTCTAGAACAGACCTAATAGCAGAATCTACTCACCTCAACTCTCCAGCGGCAGCCATTGTTGTTGTCACCCAAGAGCGCTTTGGTCACGTGGTTGATTACGTTACTGTTGATCATCTGTCCATCATCGTATAAAGCCCGCCCTGACAATTTGATTGGATCGCCAGAGAGTGGGCGATCATACTCGCCCTACTATGGAGCAGAGCCAGACCGAACTTCCTGACCTCAAACCTTGTGGGCGGGACTAAGTTCGGAATGGCACCCAGGCTACCTTTTTTAGGGTTAACTTAAAAAGGAAAAACCCATGATTATTAAAAGATGGAAGCTGTGGGTTTTAATACACATTTTTCATTTTGAGGAGATTTCCGTCTCTCTCTGTAAGCCTTTGCTTTAATTGAAAAACAAAATCTCTTAAGAACGTTGAATCTCTGCTTCATCAGCCTGTGGTGGCAGAACACAGCAGGGGGCTCACAGATTCAGTCTAAGGGGGCCGTAAAAGGCCCCATGGCCACATTTTGGACACTCCTGTGGTAGATGTGATTTCCTATTGGTTCACTGAGCTGTTCTATCTGCTGACCTTAATGTTCACATAAATAAACTGTGTTTTGATAGGTATGTTTACATGTTACACTTGTTATATCGATGTAAAAAGGTTTTATTTTTCTGCAAATATGTGAAATATCACCCTCTTCTTTGCAAGTTTACAGAGCTGGATCTCTGACAAAATCTTAATAAAAGCAGTTTAAGCTTTAAGTGTCTTGGTGACACATGTTTAAAAAAAAAAAAGGTGGAACTTTTAATGCTGTCAGACTCAGTCTTTTTAGGATTAAACTAAATGCTTTAACATCTGGCAGAAGGATCCCTGTCCCTCTTTGTAAGTGAAGCTTTGTGTTTTGTGTGCGGAGCAGATGTGTGTGCATGTGATGAAGCAGAAGAAGTGCCACTACATTGGGAACTGCTCCTTTGCTCACAGCCTGGAGGAGCGGGACGTTTGGACATACATGAAGAACAACAACTGTGAGTTAAAAGTTCTTCTGTCAGACTTGGAAGTCATTAAAAATGGTTGTCTGAGGTGTCCTTGGTATGTTTGGTGCAGACTAATGAGGTTCCAATTTTTTATTTAATGTATTTTGCAGCAAATCTTTGTGTTCAAAACTTCAGTTAAATATCAACTTGGTGCAGTAGCATCCACAAGGCAAAATGGGAGAGAATTATACCAAACGGGTCTGAATAATCTTTTGGGTTCATCTTTCCTGTAGATGATCGTTTGCAGCACATCTGCTCAGTGCAGACAGTCAAAAAAGACCCACAGCGTCTCAGCTGCTCTCCGCCTAACTGACAGGCAGAGGGAGAAGAGAAGATCTGTTGTGTTTTTGTAAAGTTAGAAAAAGAACTTGTCCAATATTGCCGTGGTAGTGTGGTAAATGAAGGCATGTAGGAATATGTTCTGTTGACCGTGAATCCAGGTGCGCATGGAAGGACTCTGCGTGGCTCACAGTCTGCTCAGGTCTGTGGGGTAAAACACTAGCATAGCATAGCCTGACGAAGGAAAGCTCCAGCTTTAGCTTCCTGAGGAAGCCAAAATGTTTTAGGTTTTACAAAAGATAATGGATTTTTGGCATGTGGTTGAAGAACAGGACCTGGAGGGAAATAAAGACGTCTGTTTTTTCCAGAGACTAGTGGTTCCCAACAGGGGGTACGTGTACCCCTAGTGGTCCGTGTGTGCATTGAAAGGGGTACATGAAAATATACTGGTGAAGATGTCATCCAGGTCATAGTCATTCCAGAAAACTTTAAAAACAATCCACTGGACTTTCTTTCAAAGTTTGAAGACGTTTCGCTTTAAAATGTCAGAATTAGTGTTGAATTGCTCAAACCGCCTATTTTATAAATAGACGGTTTGAGAGGGGCATGAAGGAAGCCATCCATGTTAAGAAAGAAAAACCAACCTTAAACAGAGGGGGTGGACTCCGATTCCAGCTTTCAAAAACCTACAAAGCAGTAATTGAATTGATTCCTTCCTTTATCAACGTAACCCCAACCCCTTTACATCGGAACAGAAGACCTCGCCTATTCAGCCAGGCCAACAATTCCTTTTAACAACACCCGTTTCAGAGACGTAAACAGGTATGAGGCAGAGATGGGGACTTGAGTTTGTGACTCGTACTCGAGTCGCACTTAAGTCGCATATTTAATGACTTCAGACTCGACTTAGACTTGCATTTAAAGGACTTCAGACTCGACTGAGACTCGTGATTTCCGACTTTCCGACAATATTTTATTCCAGTGTAAAAACACTTATTCAAGTGTTTTTTGTTTTACTAACTTGACTGATCGCCGTTCGCCTTACCCGCACACAGAAGAAATCTCAAAGACCCAAACCGTGAAGCACTCAAGTTCAAGTGTTTTATTTATACAAAAAACCACAGCAAAAGTGGCATAATAAAACAGTCCTTTTCTTCTCCTGATAAAACCTAAAATTCAAGAGTTTTCCTTAAAAAACAGAGGCTGGAAGTTGGGCTCCGCTTGTTATGCTGCTTCTGGTGCGAGTGATCGGCCTGGAGCACCCACTGGCTGATCCACAGACTCTGCGGCGCTCCAGCACTGTTCCACTCCCTGGTGTGCCACACCCCTTTCCAGACCAATCCAGCTAAAAAGAGAAGCAAGGAGAACGCCAGCATCCACGCGCCAAAACCCCGTCGGAAGATATATTCCTGTTTATGCGGCAGCGCGTCCGTCTCTGTCACCTGCAGATTCCGTTCTCCTTTCCTTCAGACTCCTTTTATGTCGGCTTTAATCAGCCCTTGCTCACACCTGAGCGCAGCAATTACGCAGCGCAATTAATGCACTCCGCCTCCTCAGACAACTACTTCAGTCCAGTGCGCATGGATTGTCACAAGGGAAAAACAAACCAAAACAACCCAACATGCAGGAAAAATTCAAAAGTCTAAAATAAAGGAAAACAATCATATAAAAAAGAAACATCAAAACATGCAAATCTCAAGAAGAAAATACAAAGAAAAGCAAATCATATCTTCCTCTCCAAACATGCAAAGCATAAAACTAACATTAAAATGAAAGAAAACCATAAATCATATTTTTCCCTGTGCAACACACTGACGTCACTGACGCAACAGTACGTGGACGGCAGGATTGTGATTGTTTTTTTTTTTTTTCACAGTCCTCATTTTCAATAAAAGAGCAGACATTTACTGCTAAAACTAGAAAAGGTTGTAACCACAAATGTCAGGTAAATACTGTAAGAAAATGCAAAATTTATCTGGAAAAAATTTTTGCGTGTGCTTTTTTTAATTGTATTTTTCATTTAGCAGTTCAAGATAATGATAATTCCATAGATATAATAGCGACCTTTAAGCTATACCGTCTCAGTGACGGAGATGAAAACACAAGGAGAAACAAGCAAGCACGCAAATTATTGCACTTTTTTAAATTAATCAAGTGATTAGAATTTTTTGTGCGATTAATTGATTATTGCGACAGGCCTTCTCAAGACTTGAGACTTGACTTGGACTTGCAAAAAATTACTTGTGAACATGTCTGGTATGAGGTATTGCAGGCTGACAAATGAAGCAAAACGACCTCAATTCCAAATGAGTGGACCAGCACGTCTGCTTTAATTTGCATGTTTTTGAATTGAAAAAGCTTCCTGGATGGGAAGCAGAAGTCTTCAAACTTGGAAACAAAGTCCAGTGGATTTTATTTTGTCATCACATCTGGTTCCCACAACTGATCAAAGCAGCTTAGGTGTCATGAGTGATAAAAACAAAGTAAAACAAATGGAGTCATTCTGACTATCATTTTTGTTCAGTATATTGTTCCCAATTCCTCAAATTTATATGTGGTTACAGAGGAGCTCCAGTTTTATAAATAAAGGTTTATAGGATTATTTTATTTTGTGTTTACTTTGATTCTTTACTAACTTCTGGGTAATGTATTTGTTTTTTTATTTGAGTTGGAAAGACTAAAAGGTCTAAGACTGAAATACTCAAATTAAAAGATTAAGTAAAATAGATTTTATTTTATTATCAGTTATTTTACCTTCCTCTTTTGAGCAGTCGTCAGTACTTTTGACTGAAATGTGGACTCATGGTAAGACAAAATGCCCAACAAGTAAAAAAAAAAAAAAAAAAAAAGGTTGGGAAACGCTGTGTTAATCCCTGAACACACCGGTTACTTCAACTTTTTAATCTCAGATCCAATTTTTTTCCATGTCACACTGACCGCATATAGAGAGGCTCCAACTAGGCAGGGTGAACAGATCTGAGCAGATTCTTTTCACTTCTGTCTCTTTATCAGACATTTCATCTGAATAGAGCATCCTCTTTATTCAGATGGCAATGAAATCCCTTTTATCTTGGGTTTGGTTTGAATAAGAACTGTTGTTTAGGTCATTGTTTTTTACTGAGGCAAAAAAGTTAAGAAAATTTTCTTTAATTTGAATAACGACAGTAGTTATTTAACCTGTAAGCATTACTAAAATTACTCACAACAAAAGATAAAGTATCCACTTCAGTGGAAGCTTGCAGTCGTTTTTGTTTTGGAAAAAATGTGACGGTATAAAAAAGTTTGATTAATTGTATTCCTCTCAAATTGCCTTTTCCTGATTAGATTTTCTTAACTTCTGAGGGGCGGCTTTCCTCTAGAGTGAAAATGGGAAGAAGCATTTCTATTGGTCTGCATTCATGTTGGCAACAATATTTTTAGTGGTCAAGAGCGAGAGTTCGGATTGGGCTGGAGGCCAGGAAGAGAATGAAAAGAATGCAAATCATGAGAAAACAGCAGCTAATCAAAATTAATTTTCTGAATTTGATATTTTGCAGTTTGCCATTTCCAAACATGTTTTTTGCTGCAACAATAGTGGAACAAAATTCACCCCATAGCCCAGTTAAAAAACATACATTAAACATACAATGAATTTATTACTTAGTTTGTTTTTTTACTTAAAATACCTTTTTTTTTCTTCAAATACAAAAGATTTGTTTGTTATTTTGACAAATTAAATGATGCACATGTCAGGTTTTCCCTAAATCCACTCTAATTGATTTAAACTCCTGTCAACAGCAAGAAAAGGAACTTCTTCTTTCCAATGAAAATGAATTGAAACCCATTGTGTTTTAAAGGTCTTAATCTTGGATATATATATATATTTTTTGCAGTGAGAGACATGCAGCAGATGTATGAGCTGTGGCTCCAGCTTACCAATCAGAACAGACGGACGGAAAGCTCCGCTGTGACCCCGCCTCCTGACGACAAGCAGGTCACCATCACAGCCGATTACACAGAAAACCTGGTGAGTGGTTTATAGCACTCAGAAGGATATCATAGATTGAACTAAAGTTGAATTCTGTCTTGTCTTTAGAAATTAGACATAAAAATATTTATAATCTATTTTCCAGCTTTCCTGGTCTGAGTGGTTAATTTTTTATACTTGTAGCAGAGGAGACGTCACAAAGAGTGAGCTTACAGTATAACAGCACTCAGCTATTAGTTTAACACAAACCAAATTACTTCCTCAATCACCAACATAGATGATTAATTTCTCTCCATAATTAGCTCAGCCAGCGGCACAGACACAGCCTCAGTGTGGTTTCCCTGGAGAAAAGTCAGCGAGTGTTTTAATCCGAATAGATCACAGTCGGTCAAAGCTGGAAACCCTAATTAGGAAACATCAAGTTAAGGAAACCCTAGTCTATAACGTGGCTTTCTATGCAGTTTAATTGGGTCCATTATTGATTGGAAAAATCCAAAACCTCATGAAGCAGACAGTCAAATTGAAGATGTATGTTTGTGTCAAACAAATTTGATTTAGCCCCTTAAGCCCGACGGGCCTGTTACCGGGCGCAGTTGACACCAGTTGATGTTTATCTGTTTATAGAAATGACCAAAAACACAGTCACATGGTGTTTCATCCACACTCGTTTCATGTTCAATGGGGCTTTAAAATGTATAAAACATCTTTTAAAATATTTATTCCCAAATACTTTTTGTTTTATAGCTGTGTAAACAAATAAAATGAGATTTAAAATTCCACCTTAAATGCGTGACTCTGGGGGAATAATGCAACAGCAGGTATTAGTTTTTAGCCACACCCCTAATGGCCGGCATTATTGGAAACTACAGGCTTAGACCTTTCCAAGGAGGGGTCACAGGTAATTATGTGACCATTTCAGGTGATGCAACCGGCATGCGTTACATAAGCTTGCTCTGTTATTCTTATTTTCTACTCAGTTTGTTGATATTCTTGGTAAATCTCAATGAAACAACGGCTAAATCTTAAGAGCAAAGGCTTTGTCTTATGCCGAAAGTCTCCATTAATGTAAATCAGCATATCTGTCTGGCCAGATTTCCTTTTATGAGTGGAAAAAGTGCATTTTTGCATAATTTGGCCACTTTTGGCAAAAATCACATTTCCTCCCAGCACACTGCCCACTAAAACCTTTGTGGAACAAAGATGCTCCAACTTCAGTCCAAATGTGTTTGAGTTATAGTCAAGATGTGGATGTTTAAAGTCTGAGGGTTGATCCAGATTTTCATGATGTTTTGCAGTATTTATTTTGGAAAAATGTTTGGCGAAGCTAAAGATTTTTCATTATTTCCTGGTTTAATCACCTACAAATCGGACATGGTGACGTTTGAAATAGTATATCCACCTGAAAAATATTCCTCGATGCCTTTCTGTTACACAAAAACAAACAATTGTATTTCTAATTTATAGTTTGGGTGCTGTACTTTCTTTAATTCAAATATGTAATTTAAGGCAGAATTTGCTTCTAAGACCCTCTGGCTTAAGGGGTTAATAAAATGTAATCAGCTTTTACCTTAAATTCCTGATCCAGCGATGTAGTTTCCTATTTTCTATTTACCTGTAAATAGTGTTTACAGGAATTTTTGTCTGTAGATTCAGGGGAAATGCCACCTTTTTTTTTTTTTTGCTATACTTTAGTACTATAAGTACTATTTACTATACTATTTATACTATACTTTACTATAGTAAATAATACTATTTAGTACTATTTACTATATAGAAGTGATCACATGACATTAAAATGATTTAATTGAAGAAGAGAATAGATGCATCTTATTCAAAGAAGAAACTTGTTACACCAGAGACCTTTTGAGCCTTTTGGCCTGCAAAACTTGGCAACTTCCTTTGGTGTAGTTGGTTCATTTCTCTTCCTTTTTTAAGATGTTTTTTTATGTGTCATTCCAGGGAGGCCAACATCTGTCCGATGGTGATGACCTCTGATTGTTACTCTCTGTAAACACATCGGATCATTGCAGACAGAGATGGAGGCGAGTCAACCAAGACCGGTTGCAGTCGAAACGCCGATCATCATCCTCCCCTGTCCCCGGCGAGCTGCGAGAAAGCAGACGGGCGCTCAAGATGTTTGAACCCCATGATCACATATTCATCCACTTAAATCTTTACACACAACACACAGACCCACAGGCACTGCTCATCACTAAGAGAAGGCTTTTTAAGTAAGAACTAAAAAATTAGTTTTAGTCATTCTGCAGGAATTTTACAGTTTACTCCCCTGATACTCTGAGTCTGTGTCCCCCTGCCGCCTCTTTTCTTCTTCTTAGCACTCAAGCGATTCACACCAGGACACGCTGGTCGCTGTCCAGAAATTTGCCACAACAGTTAAAGACATCACGCTCTTATTTTTGATGCTGAAACGTTACGAGAGCCGAAAATTGCCAAGCTTCCCAGTGCTTCCAAATTCAGCTAGAAACCGTGGAAACTGTAAAAGCGCTGGAAAAAGAGGTTTCAGGTGGACACGCCTCATCAAACTATCAACCAAATCCTACTCTTCCCTTTACAGGAATCATGAAAACTGATTTGAGTTTCAGCGTTTTTGGTTTTGTTTTTTTTTGTTTTTGTTTGTTTTTTTTTTCCCTCGGGGAGTTACACTTCTTTGTTATATCTGCCATATTGGTAGAAAGTTTTGAATGTAAAGCCTGAACAGGCCTTCAAAACAAGGAAGTGAGTTGTTTAAGATGTTAATGTTGTAGAATGTATGCAGATATCACTCACCTGCCCTGAAATCGGGTGACATGTTAGCTCCATACCAGCTGCTCCTGCAGCGGATCGTCGCCCAGAGCCAAAGCTAAGACCCGTATCAGTTTGACAGACAAGCGAAAGAAAATGACTGAGAAGTTTTAAAGATATCGGTTTCTTTAAGAAAACTTAAAATGTGAATATAACTGAGGTCGGTATAGGAGGAACACAGAAAAGTCACTAATTCAAAATAGTTGATTGTATGAAGAGGAATTTGTTCCAATGTTATTGAAAGAAAGAAGATGTTTCAGAAAAGGAAAAACTTCAACAAAAAGGTTTTAAGAGTAATTCATACCTTGTAAGCAAAGGTTTAGCCAATATTTTTAGTTTGCTATTTTTTTTTTTTTAATCTTTTCGATATTTTTGCGGAAGACTTAGTTTTATAACTGGCATTCTTTTCAAATCTCATTTAGATTTCACGCTCTTCACTTCTGGGTAAAGCAGCTTTTCTATTGGTCTGCGAATGTAACCAATAGAAATCAGTCTGCTGTGCGTTGCCATTAGCAACGACAATTCTATTGGTCCATGGGGACACCACCAAAATGTAGAGGCTGAGATCTGTAAAGAATGCAATAAAACTGGATCCCAAATAAGATCTTTTTTTTTAATAATGTGGAGAAAAAAAAGACTGAAACCATGAAACTTAAAGAATTTTTTTTTTTTCAGATAATAAAATTTAAAAAATAAATAAATCTGATTAAATTATTTGGAAAAAAAAAAGCAAACTAGAAATATTGTTTAAGTTTTTGAATATACTTTATAAATAGAAAACAAAAAAGCAATTTCTCAGATTTTTTTTTTATTTTTTTTATGTGTTCTTTGTTTTTAATAATATTGGAACAAATTTCTCTCCGTACTTGGCGTTAGCCTTAGGCTGGAAAAACTTGGGCTACACATAAAACACAATGACAGATGTCTCAATATATAAAGATGATTATTTTTATGTTTGTTGGTAAAAAGTTAAAATATTATTAGACGTTCTAGTTCAGCCTCAAGTGTTCAGAAACTTTCTCCTGCAACCATCAGTTAGAAATTTTACGTTCTTGATCCGACCCAAATAGTCGGTCCCTGTTAGGTCAGAGGGGGGCCTCCGGATCAGTCTTCTTCACCTTCTGGCCCCGAGACATGGACGGATTCACACCGCATAACGTGCCTAAAAGATAAAAAACACACTATCATGTGACACAAACACCCATGCAGAAACGCACATACACCCCACAAAAAAAAAACCAGACAGGAAACACGTTGCCATCTTATTTTAGCCTTTTAAAGTAGACCTGAGAAATCATGAGCGTATGTCTTTATTCAGTGACACGCATATTATACATACATATAATATACATACATACTAATGATAAATGATAACTTAGCAGTTAAGCTTAATAAATATATATAACCTGGAAACTTGTATTGATTACATAGATAAACTTCTTGTTATTGAGGTTTTGCTATATGACATGTATCGCTTAATTAGATGATTATAGTATCTTTTTTTTATTATGATTTTATTTTAAGATTTTCTTTTCAGTAAGTGTGGGTTGTTCCAGACAGGGTGGATGGACCAGATTTCAAAATAAAAGCATAGATGGTTTACACTGCGACTAGAGATCAAGAGATCACGTAACTTTATTTTGATATCTATATATAATATAAATAATTAGTATAAAAGTTGATTTCAGAACGAAATAAACTGATTGTGGAGATTTGGTTTAAGGGTTAAAGTTGAAAGATGAGGGCAGGTTCATGTGGGAGGAACATGTTAGTTGTTTATCCGGCCTTTGTCTGGAACAGCCCAGGTGTTAGCTTCTTTAAGAGATCGTATTACTATCACTCCTAGTATTCTGATGAATATGATGACTATAATTATTGCTATCTATTGACTATTCCTATTTTTCTTCTATATGCTATTGATATATGTATGTTAATTGCAATGTATACCTTTCTCTTTATATATGTATCCATGTACGAATATAATTGACAGTAATTGCGCCTCAGTGTGCTGATGGACACAGAGGCTTGTATACTCCCACATAGCGCCTTATTCATTATACTACACCTATAAGATACATACATAGCCCTATTGTATAATCGTACTCACTATAAGCAGTATATGATACCTGATAACCTATGATGATACTTAGACATCCTTTATGAGGTGTTTTAGATAAGAAACAGTGGCCTGTCTTCATTTCTTTTCTCTGTGGCTGTGAAATATGTGCGGTGATCAGAAATAGATTTTTTCTTTCAAAGTTAAAAAGCTCTGAGCCACGCCCCCCAAACGCTCCTCATCTTCTTATTTCAGCTCCACTTCATTTGTTTAATGCCACTTCCCGCCGTAGCGGTGAGCAGGAACTTTGCCAACGGTCATCTTAAAGTCCCAGTAGTTGAATTAAAAAAAGAAATGTAATGCATTGTCTGTGTGACAGTACAGGAAGTTTTGTTTTGGATCTAAGTTTAAATTTCAACCTTTTTTTAAAAAAAAAAGAGAGAGAAAAAAAAGCTAATAAAAACTAAAAATGAAGCTGAGTGTTCTCTGCTATCTTGGTGAAATGCCTGAAATGATTGCACAAGTGATACTCTGGACGTCACTCGTGTCTCATTCTGAGTGTGATGTTATTTTTGAAGGCGTGTGGATTATGACAAACTTTTAACCCTTTATAAGGCACTCTGTTAAGCTAAAGTATTATTGGAATCCAGGACAAGACTTTACCTTTGCAACATTAAAAAAAATATGGATATTTTGATGGCAAAAACGTATATCAATGTAATAACAACAAACGGCAAGCTGCCTGAATATTTTAATAAAAACAACAAAAGTGCCTCTATAAGAAATTTGTGAAAAACACAAGAGTAAAAAAGCTTTTTTTTGTTGTTGTTGTTGAGCATAACCTTAGAGGCATTAATGCTGATACTGGCACTTACATTAGGGCTCATCTAATTGATTAAACACCAAAATAAGATGTACAGCCATGTAGCAGCATCTTTGCTGAACGGATGATATAGATCTTGTGCTTCTAGACCTCACTGAGGGACGGGGGGGCTCCATTTGTAAGGGGTATGCAAGTGATTAAAAACAGGCGTGTTGATGGAAGTTTTCTAATTCTTCGTTCTTAGCCTGCTCCCTGTCAAAATCTGTTTCGGGGAAATTTTAAATGTTCTGGTTTATTCTAACAAAAAGCTTCTATATTCTGGTTCGACGATCAGTTCTGGTTCACACGCCTCACTGCTGTCAAATTACACAGATTCACTTCTCCACATGTGACTCAATAGCCTCTTCGTCGCATTCCTCTCCCTCTGGTTCTCTGCACCAACAAGCACCTCTAAGCCAAGAAACACGTTCTTCGGCTGGTTATCAGGGTAATTTAGTCGCTTTTGTGTAAAACTTAACTGAAGAAAACAGGATGTAAGAAGGTGGGGAGGTGAAGAAATTTTTTTTTTCCTTTTTGAAGATAAAAAGACATTGACGCACTCCAGAACTGTCATCTCTGTCTAATCTAGATGTGAATGAATGGATTAACTTAGTGGTGCATAACTGTGAAGTAAAAGGAAAAAATAACTGCTTTGTTTTTCTTTTTATTAGATAAATCTAAAAAATATTCCATCCTTGGCTGCAAAGGTTAATAATGATTATCCTTTAAGACCTTTTAGATCTGGACTTTGCTCCGTTGTGAGACAGGAATGTGCTGAAAGTGGGAAACATCTAAAACATGCAGGGTAGGGTTGGAAAAACACTGGTTTATGATCACTGTGCTGCTAAAAGAATCTCCACTGCTTTTCTGCATCTACTGAAGGAGAAAATAATCCGACAGTATGAGGCCCTGGTGTTTGGTGTCTTCTGCTTGGGCTGCAGGGTTTTTTTTGTTTTGTTTTTTCCCACTTTTTTAATTTCTTTTGAAAAAGTTATATATGTTAATTGTTATTGCAGTCTGATGGCGAGGGTGCTAGAGGCTCCATGATTTTCATGTTTTATTGTTTGCTTCTTGGCTGATTGATGCTCTCCTTGCCCAGCATGATGGGCCTCGATAAATGTTTTCACAGATGTGGATTCATGCTGACCTAACCTTTACTTTCATAGACCTTTCACTAATTAAGTGACCCCTGATGGAGGTCAGTTGGGATTTAATTTAGGGGAATCGGTGTAAAGATGGCTGAAATTTAAAAAAAGGAATACTCGGAATGAAAGTTTGAAAACTTTTCCAATTAAATTGTCGTTTTGAGAGTAACTTTGATCTTTTCTTTGATTGAATTTTTTTGGAAAAAAATTCTAATTTTCATTTTTTTTTTTAAAGTAGATTTCTTTTTTTTTTTTTTTTTTTACAAACCTCATTGTTTCACATAACACTTTTCTATAGTGTAGTATATATGGTATAGTGGAGGATGTTCTTTTTCTGGGTGGATCATCTCAATAAGTGGTCCTCTTAATTGTCAATCATTCTTGTGATATGTTTACATAAGACCGTCCTACGTCCCTGTCCCCATTTTAGCTTACTGGCGGTGAGTGACAGTGGGAAAAAAGCTTTTTTATGACTGATGCAAACAGCAACTTTTAAACAGAACCGTGCACGAGGAGTAACTGGCTCGTGCACGCTTTTAATCGGTGTTCCCTCTCAGGAGCGGTGTTCTGTCAGATGAGCATACCCGGTCAGACCAATACCCATTTATCTCTTCAGTTCTGCATGAAAAGTATACTTTAAAATACCTCAACAGCCATGTATCCAATTAATCATGTACCAAAAAATTATTTAATTAATCTTTAAAGCGTATGGTGATCTGACCTTAAATATTTTTTGTTTTTGTACCTGACTAAAGGGATACATGCAAATCTGAGGCCTTGCACGTGTGTATTGACTATAGGTCATACAGAACAGTGGGCACAGGGCCGTGCATGTGCATTTTTGTGTAAAGGACGGCTTATTTCAAAAAGTTCCAGAAGATCGAAGGCTGATCAATAGAAGTGCATCACTCCAGAGGAAATCCCGCCCTGAGAAGTCAAGAAAATGTTTTCTTTAAAATGCAATTTAAATAGAATGTAAGTCATAAAGCTAAATATATGTAGCCTATATTATTTTTATATTTATTTAATGTGAAACAACTGTTTATTCTGATAACGTATTCTACAAACTGATTTTTTTTTTTTTTTTTTACAAGACAATTATTCTGCCAAATATTTCTGCAGGTGTAAGCTTGAGTGTATGTACCCTGTCTGAACCCGCTCTGTAAGCTGTAGGAGTCAAATTTAGCCTGGAGGAGTTTGAACCTCTGTTTCTGCCTGTAAACATGGAGACCTTTACAACACTACATTGATCAGTATAATCCCGACAGGAGCCTTGATTGAAAAGGGTTGATCTAGTCCAGGGGTCTGCAACCTGCGGCTCTGGAGCCACATATGGCTCTTTGGACCCTCTCCACCGGCTCTTAATACTGGCTAAAATGTATATAAAGAGCTAAATAATTTACTATAATATATACCGGTATCAATAGCTTTAGCGTTTTTTATAAGATGGAAGAGAATGAGTTTAAAAGAACCAGAAATATATTTTCAGAGACATTTTTCTATGAATTAGCTTGAAAACTATATGTTTTAACATTAAAAATAGATGAATTGATTGTCTGAGATGGCAACAACTAATTTCCTATACAAGCTTTTAAAAAGAAGGTTTTCTAGAAAAAATCATGGTATTATTTGCGGCTCTAAACAACTTTTATTTGGTCGTACTCTGGGCAAAACGGCTCTTTGGATATGAAAGGTTGCAGACCCCTGATCTAGTCAGTGGTTTTTGCCCCTATGGTGTTCTAATCCATGCACTATCCCAGTTACCTTGGTTACCCCCACAAAGCTAAAACAATCGCAGCTTAATTTACATGTCCAGTTTTGATTAGAGATTACTCTTTATAAACAATCTGTAAGATATTAGTTGTTCTTCTTTTGCATATTCTGTTAATTACCAGCTTTATTGCGGGACATGAAAGGCAAACAAAGTTTACACGTTTTTTTTTTTTTTTTTTTACTCTATTAAGTAATCTAGCTGCGCTTTGTGATTGGCTGTCAAAGCCGTGATGAACACCACCGCGGGCCAATCGGTGCTCGCTCCGTTTATATCCTCAGCAATGCGGGCTGGTGATTGGTTGAAACGGCAGGCTAGGGGCGGGACTGAGTTAAGTAACTTGTTGACCGGAGTTCAGAGCAAAAGAGGTGGAAAAAGTTTCAGCAGATCGAGTTCAGATCAGTTTAGGATCGGGACTCCGAGCCGCCGCCTCCTCCCACTGCCAAACCCTGCAGGCTGAGGGCTTTTACCCTGATTTATAGACATTTTCTTTACATTTTAAAAGGAGATAAACATGACTACAGAAATCCCGGAGATTTTCAGGGCTCTCCTTGAGCACCCGTTCACTCTCCCAAACTTTGACGATTCAGGTAAGTCTGTGACAGATTTAAGCTGAATAAAAAATACTGCAAAGTTTATCAAACTGGGGAATATGTGAGGAAAAGAGTAGGAATTAAAATAAATGTTTGTTATTTGGAGAAGCCGCGTGTTTGTTGTGTAATTGGGGTCAGCTGAGGGCTCCAACCACCCGCTGGGCTGCAGGACTCTGACCCCCCCACAGCTCCAGCCTGGTGGGGGGGGCATAAAAAAAAAAAAAAAATCTTAAGGTGTGGAAGATCAGGTCAGTCCAGTGATCCAGTGAGTTTTCATTGAAACTGGTTGTTTTATTTCTCTGGATCAGTGAGGTTAATCCCTACAAAATAAAAGCTTGATTGGCAAATTTTACATTCTGTGTAAACTATGATTATTTTTCTCCTTTAAAGTTCCAAAGTAGATTTATTTAAGTAAGTGTAAGTGTGCCACGCCCCCTCCCCCCTTTACTGCTTGAAATGAGAGATAACGTTTCAGCCTGAGCGCTTTTCTCCAGATAAGAGATCCTGTGATATCAGTTGCTTTTCTTTAAGTGATTGATTGCTTAGCCTGATAATTTTTTGCTGAGTCACTGTGTGGAGAGGGTCATCATTAAATTATATCGGCATCAGATGACTGTTTCCACAATGAAAAAAAAAAAAATTTTACTTAACTTTAACGTTTTATATCCTGCTAACATGAAACAACTGTGTTAAAGTAACTATATATGATTTAACTGAATGCCAAAAATGGTTGCATTATTTTTTTCAGTGCACTCGTAATTAAAACTCATTATCTAACCACTACCTAGACTATTTTAAATTTTCTATACTTCAGAAATCTATAGAGGATTGTCGAATGCATGCCTCCTCCCTGAATGATTCAGAGATGAAGCATTACTTTGGTAGCTTTAAATACACATTTCTTAAAAAGAAGGAGGTGTTTGTAGGAGTGAGCATTTGGATTATTCATCAGCTCATCGGTTCAAATGCAGGAACTTATGTCAGGATATGTTGGATCTGCAGAGATGTTGGCTAACCTTTTGCTTAACCTAAACATGTCCAAAGCTGTTTTGAGGGATGGTCAGCT